CTTTACAATTTATTTCAATATTTCTTTCATGGTATAATATGCCTAAGATAGTAGTTAACAAATAGCATGTATAACAGATATATATGTGTGTGTGTGTGATTAAAATTTTTTTCTTATATTTTTGGTTGCAAGCCTAGCCTTTAATAGCTGAGCCATTTCTCCAGTCCCAAAATATGTTTTACTCTTGTCTATTTTAGAATACAACGTAATTGATAAAACAGATAATTGATCGGTTCTTGAGACTTCACTTAGTTATTACAGAAAAGAAAGACTTTCATTGCCCAAAAACTTCCTTTCACTTATAAATCACATTTCTTCCTGTATGGCTCTCAGAATTCTTCCTGTGCAGGAAGAATTACCAGCCACTGGTAAGCTGAGCAACGTAAAGCACTTGCACTTCTCATTTGATGGCCATCAACTCATCAAAGATAACCAAAGTAGGCCCTTCTCACAACACTAAACATCTTAGCTCATGAAGATAATATAATGCCACAGTAAATCATGATGAAATCGAAAAGAACAAATGCTAGATGAGAGTGATGATGGAGAGCTGTCTCAGTTGTTAAGAGTGCCTGAAGCTCTTGCTTGGGTTCTCTACCAGGCTACCTTGGGGCATAACTTTCTTTATTAAAACAGCATGCTTGCTGCTATTACTTGTTTTTAAATTTTTGTTTTGTATTGTGTGTGTGTCTGTCTGCCCGTGTACACCTGCATGTGTCTGCTTGTATGCATGCCTGTCATTGTGTGAGTGAATATTATGGTGTGTATGTGGAGGTCAGATGATCTGTCCTTACCTGGGGATGGAACTCAGGTCGTCAGGCCTGTACCTGCTAGACATCTTGCTGGCCCTGCTACTGTTCCATTTCAATCCTGCCATGCTCTAGATCTCATCATTTCTAATGGTTGTGTGGAGTCTTAAGTCCTTTCTGTCTAAAATCCTGTCATACACTCTAGGCGCTCTCACTTCCTCCTTTTGAATTTGATGCTTTTTAGTCCTTTCTCTATCTTAATTTCCCCGCCCCTAATAGTGTGTTGATAACATGTGTAAGGAGATATTGGATGCATTGTTCTAGATATTGGAGGAAGTGCTTCTGGCACTTCTCATTTCATATGTTACTATGAACTTGTCACTCATTAATTACATCCTCTATTGGTTTGAGGCATACATGTTGATGCTGTGTCTAATTTCGTCAGGATTTCTATCATGATGGGTTCTGAATGTTACTGAATGCTTTCTTTTATGTGAATTGAGATCACATGTTTTTGTTCATTGTCCTCTTGATTGTTTTTGATGTGATATCATACCTATATTTGTATGTTTGCTTTGATCTTGCATCATTGTGATATCTCTTACTTGACATTTTGAAGCTGTGGCTTCTTGTTATATTGATAATTTTGGTATGTGTTTTAATGCTACTTGTTATATTGATAATCTTTTTTTTAATATAATTTTTTATTGCAAAAAAAAATTTCCGCCTCCTCCCCGCCTCCCATTTCCCTCCCCGTCTCCCTTTTCCCCTCCTCCTCCCTCTCCTCTCCTCCTCCCCCCACTCCTCTGCCCCTCCCTCTCCAGTCTGAAGGGCAGTCAGGGTTCCCTGCCCTGTGGAAAGTCCAAAGTCCTCCCCGCTCCATCCTGGTCTAGGAAGGTGAACATCCAAACTGGCTAGGCTCCCACAAAGCCAGAACATGAAGTAGGATCAAAACCCAGTGCCATTGTCCTTGGCTTCTCAGCAGCCCTCATTGTACGCCATATTCAGAGAGTCCGGTTTTATCCCATGCTTTTTCAGTCGCAGTCCAGCTGGCCTTGGTGAGCTCACAATAGATCAGCCCCACTGTCTCCGTGGGTGGGTGCACCCCTCGTGGTCCTGACTTCTTTGCTCATATTCTCCCTCCTTCTGCTCCTCCTTGGGACATTGGGAGCTCAGTCCGGTGCTCCAGTGTGGGTCTCTGTCTCTATCTCCATCCATCTCCAGATGAAGGTTCTATGGTGATATGCAAGATATTCATCAGTATGGCTATAGGATAGGGTCATTTCAGGTTCTCTGTCCTCAGCTGCCCCAGGAACTAACTGGGGACATCGCC